CCACATTGGCGTTCATCTGTTTCTAAAAAAAAAACACTATAAGTGCTTTTAGTGCCTCTCACTGGACATTTGTTTTTGAAAGTGCTGTGAAACGTGCGAAAAGCAATGCAATATAATTTTGTAGTAATGTCAACTACAGGTCAAAACTCACTTTTGCTAGTGTCACAGAACCATACTTTACAATGTGGAGGGAAAAAAAGCACAGAGAGGTATTATATCCATCTCTCTCTGTAACATTAGGTCATTCTCACTTCTTAAGAAACCATGTGTACCTTTAATAAATGGAAAACACATAAAAATCATCCTGATGAGAAGCTGACCTGAGTGAGATGTCTTTCAGTGTTGTGTCTGGTACCACGTCTCTCGTCTACCTTGCTGGCTGGTCGCCCAGTGATGGCCAGAGGAGAGCACCTGGGTAAACAGGTACGTCGGTGGTATGAGTTCTGCTAGTACTGAACTGTGAGAACCATGGCCCAGTGCTGCCTGCCATACACTTCACCCTTTTAAACACAGACCCAGCCTTTGGGACCTACTGTAGCATTCAAACACAAACACACAGCGATCTCACATCTCAACAGACTGTTTGCTTTCCTCTCACAGATTTGATCTTGCTCCATTTTTTCCCCCTTTCATTCTCATTCTTTATCTGTTTGTCTCTCGAGCTAACTTGGAGGCTGAAATCTGAAATATGTCTTGAATACTTGAGTGAGCCCCTGCAAGAAAGCAAGCTGTAACACCCTCGGGTAACCCGTGTGCCCAACATGCCCTGCTCTTCTTAAAGTGACCACTCCATACACCTGCTGAAGTTTGTGTTTGCTTTGGAGATGTTGAGACACTGAATAAACATTCAAACAACTTAGTTCATGAATTCATATATTTATTTTGTTTAAAATTTATGATTTTGTGAGAATCATAACAAATAAAGCGGTTCTTATAAAGCAAGGTTTTCAAGCAGGTTAAGGTGATTTTTTCGGTTATACCATTCAAAAGATTTTATTTGATCAAATAAATTGAAATAAATAAAATAAAATTGAAATAAATAAAATTCTGTTTGAATATATTTTAAAAAAGTGATTTATTCCTGTGATAGCAAAGCTGGTGTTTGCTTTGGAGATGTTGAGACACTGAATAAACATTCAAACAACTTAGTTCATGAATTCATATATTTATTTTGTTTAAAATTTATGATTTTGTGAGAATCATAACAAATAAAGCGGTTCTTATAAAGCAAGGTTTTCAAGCAGGTTAAGGTGATTTTTTTCGGTTATACCATTCAAAATATTTTATTTGATCAAATAAATTGAAATAAATAAAATAAAATTCAAATAAATAAAATTCTGTTTGAATATATTTTAAAAAAGTGATTTATTCCTGTGATAGCAAAGCTGAAATTTCAGCATCATTACTCCAGTCTTCAGTGTTACATGATCCTTCAGTAAGCATTTTAATATGCTGATTTGATCAAGAAACGCTGCATTTTTATTATCAGAAACTACATTGCTATTATTATCCATGTTGAAAATGCTTTTTTTTTTTTTTTGATGAATCCAAGTTCAAAAGAAAATAATTTGTTTGATTGTTTTGTATGAATAATGTAAAAGTTTTTACTGTCACTTTTGATAAATTTAATGTGAACTTACTGAATAAAAAAAATAAAAAATAAGTACAATCTTACCAACAATTTTTAAACAGTAGTGTGGATGATTCAAACTAGCATAACTCATTTTGAACTTTCTAATAAGCTTTTAAGTTTTATTTTAATATAGCAATGTTAGTTAATATTTGTAATTAAGGTTATAAAGTGTTACTGAGAAAATCTAACCTTGTATAGAGGGAGAATTGAAGCCCCTTTCTGCCTCATGTATAAATTATTATTATTTTATAATATATTATTTTTCTTTCTTTTTTTTACTTTGAGGTGGTAGCAGGCTTCAGGAGGCTCATAGATGTTGGTCATTGCTGCGACAAAAAAACAAGACAATAAACAAAACAGAAAAAGGTCTTGACTTTATTTTACACATGGATCCCAAATTATAGTGAATTCTGCAAAGAAAATGAGCAACTATTCATTCAGAAACAAAAAGACGGGATCAAGTCAACATTGCCCTCTTTTCACCGAAAGTATAGACTTGTGTGCTATTTCCATATAAATCATTTCTACATAAAAGTGGAGATTACATCTTCATCGGAAGCAGCACATAAAATAATCTGATTAATCATTCAGTACTTCAGTATTCATCCCTGTTGAAAACACCAGTGTATGTTGTGTTTTGCATGCTGGTCTGCTGCCCACCAAGCTTCTTAACTAGCTTAACCAGTCTTTTTACTGGAAAATCATGCTGGTTAAGCAGCTCAAACCACTCTAGACTAGCATAGAAACTCATGCTGGCATTTTCAACAGAATCACTTTGGCAGAAATTACAAAGACAGATCATATTTTCACATATCCCTTTACCATGACATGCATTTATTAAGATTCCACACTCTGCCTTTCCTTGTAACCATGACACTGAGGTAAGCTTGATTCAATCTGCTCTCTAACTACATGTATCATTTAAATAATAATTATAGGTGGCATCTGTCAGCTCTTGTGAGATCTGACATTTTTCCCGAAGCAGTCGGCACATGTTTCATGAGTCATGACATGGAAAATTAGAACAGCGTAATAAAATAAAGAGAATCTATTTGCCCCTGGAGACTGAGGGGTCTTTAGCCAATGCACACATCATGAGTCAGTTCAGAAGTTATTTAACACCTACATCAAAGACCACAGTGAATTCATATCAAATGTTATATGACAATACACAATGTTTAAAAAAATGCAGCGAATGTGGATTTTGAGCTCTGTAGCAACACAGATGCAAGCAGTCTCATTTCAGTCAAGGACATTCTGTAGGAAATAACAATATTTACATCCAAAGCAAACAGAGCTCGTACAGCATTTTAAAATGCCTTTTTCATTGAGCCTCACACGGTTCATTAACCTTTGGTGAATATTCTGCATAGCAATCTGTAATATTCCCAATAACTAGGTTGAAAAGGCTAAATTAAATCAATTTATAAAAATGAATTAAAAAAAATAAACATCTTCAATACATAGTGATGCATTTAATAAGCCGACCGGTTTAGAATAAGGGGAAAAATCCAAAGCCATTACCAGTGAAAAATGACTTCAAAGGTTAGTTCACCTACAAATAAAATTATGTCATTATTTATTTACTTATCCTCTAAAAGGACCTAAACAAAACACAATAAAAGTGGTCCATATGATTTGTGTGCTTTCTTTCCAGACTTCTGAAGCCACTGGCAAGCTTTGTGTGAGAAACAGACCATAATTTTAATTGAAAAATGACCTAAACTTTGGTCTGTTCTTCATAAAAACGATCTTATATCTTTAAAGGGGTCATATGATGTGATTGCAGCGCATTTTATGGAGGACGAGGACTGTTTCCTGGGAGAGTATAGCCTACAATGCGGTTTCTATAAAGTGGTGCAATTCCAACTTTGCAAGGACAGTCGTAAATGTAATGAATTATTATTATTATTATTATTATAAACACATTGCATTACACCAAATACACAAAATAATGTTCTTTTTAACAACGTCATATGACCCCTTTAAAAGACTGTATGGATCAACTATTTTAGTTTTTTTTTTTAGCTTTTTGACAGGCATGGTCATGTATGAGGAAAAGAAGTTGTGTGAAGATTCTTTTCTATGTTCTATGAAAATAAATAACAGAATACAAGCCTAAAAATAAAATGAAGATGTGTAAATAATGACAATGTTCATATTTGCATGAAACATTAATTTTACAATGAATAGTTCACATGAGAAAAAACGAGTTTTAATATTTCTACTTCAAAATTTCAATTTTAATTCAGTTAGGTTTTTTTTTTTTTTTTTTGGGGGAAATTTTCTAGCAAATTCTGTGAAAATTGTTTCAAATAAATCCTACACCAAATTATTTTCATTGTATTCACATATTTCCAACTTATGATACAATATGCATGAACCATTCCTTTAAATCTCTGCTTATTTCTCACACAAAACTATTATTTGTCTTGACTGCACAAGACTGCACAGAAGTTGTATGGACTACTTTTAAGGTGTTTTTTTTTTCTCTCTCTCTTTCTTGGACAATGGCCACGGACACTTTTTTATAGAAAATGACTGTACTGAACTCTATATTTTAAAGTTAAAATATTTGAAAGTAATTTTTGCTTATGGTCATGGCAAATTTTTTAATAAAAAGACATCATATCCTATCAAAGCAACAACCAACACTCAAATGAAACCTTGACATATTTCTATTGAAGTATTTAAAGCTGAGAAAGTCTATTAAAATATGAATAAAAATAAAAGTTTTACTTCACGATGTGGTCTGGGTCTATGTTTCTGCAGCTAGATCACGGTGAAATCCCACATGTATAAATCTGAACAACATTTTGCTAAATGAAACACTCATCCATGCCAAAAACATGCACCGATCCCAAGGGCAGTCGTGAGTACTGGTGAGGGTCAAAAGTGTATGGTATGAATCTCTCGTGAATGTATTATTCAGAGCACAAGGAATGTAACCTTGCGTGAAACAGATGGCCGGGCATATGCTCTCCTGGAAAACCTGCTAACACGCTGCTGCTGATTTGAGACTGAATGCGCTAGAACTCATAATCGCTTGTAACACGCTGGGACACGGCCTTTTATAAAGATCATTACAATCACAATCTTATCCCACATCACAGTTGATGAACATGAAGATCTTTGAGTGGGAATACTTGTTTTATCTTAAAAACAGGGATCTTTTGTGGTTCCCAACTGGAAAGTGAAGCATTATTTATACAGGTCTGTTAGTGACGACATTGCAAGAGCGACAGGTCCATGGAGAGTTCATTTTACAGCTGACTCCCAAACACCTCAGTGAGAAAATGAAAGGAAAGCAGAGAATCGGAGACCAAGCAGGGTGGAAGAGATGTCAGGATAGGGGAGGCACTGCCCTTCATGCCTCCAAGCAAGCAGTAAAGACAGCGAGAAGAGTTAGTACGAGAGGCCAAAGATGGGAAGCCAAGAGCTTGAAGGCTGAGGATCTGTTTCCTCCAAAATAAGCCACCTGAGCTGCAGAGATAAAGGAAAAAGAAGCAAACCACACTGTAAAAAAAGTTTTTATTTGACATTGTAAATAAAGATTATTGAAGCATCTTTTCCCCAAAAAAAAATCTACTTAAAAATGTTGTTTAATTCAATTAGTTGCTTTCTTTTCTTTGTAATTTTGAATTTTTCTATTCATTTCTGAATGAAAACGGTTTCATTAATTCTATTTTAAGCAATCATTGGGAGAAATTAAAACAGAATGGTATTACACAATAGTTGATGTAAAATAAGAATATAGAGTTGTAAATTCACTTTGCATTTAGTCTTGGAAGTGACAAATGTTTGAGTTCATAATGAAATTTCTGACTTGCAAGCATTGGTACCTTTGCAGATCTGAGCACAGTTCTGACACATTTTTGAGATCTCGTGGTCATGATCATAGCAAACAAACAAACAAATAAATAAACACAACTTGCTAAAGCAACAACCAAGACTCAAATGAAAACTACTGTAGTACACAAGCACAAGAAAGTCAACCTACTGTTGTATGATTAAATAAAAATAACTTCAACATTTCACATATAATTCAGTGTTACTATTTACGTTATTATTAGTGAATTCTAAGTGAAAATTATTTCTGATTAATCCTACATTAAAGTTTTTTTTTACAGTGTATTCACAAATTTCAAAAATTAATTGGGAAAAATTAAAATAGAAAGATATTAGAAAATAGTTGATGTAAAATAAGAATATTCAGTTAAAGGTGGGGTAAGCGATTTTTCGAAAACGCTTTAGAAAACTGATTCGGGCCGACTAGCAAAACAAACTCGTAGCCAATCATTCTGGATAGGTGAGTAACACCGTGTCTGCGCCGCAACAGCTAAAGTCTGTCTAGTACACTGGACGTGACAAAGCGAACGTTGAAAATCATTTGAAATGTGTGTCAATACATCATGAATAGAACGCAGCAGCAGTTTTCTGTCAGGGATTTGTCGTGTCGCGCCGCGCCAGTGTAGATCATAGATATGTATATACAGTGGGTGCGGAAAGTATTCAGACCCCAGAACTAATCGTTGCCTGGGTTGCGTACATATGTGTGGGGCGGAGCTATCAAAATAGGGGCGAGACCCTTTTGGGGTAGGGGCGTGTTTGTTTTGGTGATTTCAAATGTCAACATTGGCTACCAGAAATCGCTTACCCCACCTTTAATTAATTTGCATTATTTGGTCTTGGAAGTGAGAAATGTTTGGGTTCATATTTAAATTTCTGACTTGCAAGCTTTGGTATCTTTGCAAATCTGAGCACAGTTTGAGACATTATTGCCCCAAAGCTCAAAAGTGAAACTCTACCTATGTGAAATGAGGGCAAACAGCTTTTCTCAGGGGCTCCTTATTGCATCAATCCACTCTAATCATCTGGCTTTAGTCTCAACTCACCTACACATGCTGTCCCTTCGTCATTAGGCTCGTATCCCTGGTTACACCTCTTGTTTGCACGGCACTTGAAGCTCCCGTAGGTGTTGGTGCAGACGGGTCGCTCAGATGGACAGACAGACGGGAACTGTGTGCACTCGTCTTGGTCTAGAAAATGAAGAGGAGTGGAATAAATATGCAAAGTTTCAGAAGTGACAACCACATTTTTTTGTGGGAGTGAATACTTTTAGATATCTTTATACTGTATGTGTGCATGGAACAAAGAAGTCGCTCCTACTAGCCCAAACGCATGATGACTGACACAGCTTCTGTTCCAAAACCTGCTGAGTTGCCATGCTGTCTACTGCCTATATAGGAAGATTCCTATTAAGGCTAAATCCTAACTGAAATGGAACCTCATGAGTGACTGATTTGGACTGCTTTGCACCACGTTATCAAACAGGGCTTCATATGTGAATCACTTGACTCACAGTTTTCCATTAGCATGTCGCCAAAGCAATGACCCAATGCCTTTATTTTATTTTAGGACTTTTTTTTGCTTTCATTCTTGAATGAGACTATACTGTAGATGGGACACACTATAATCCAGGCCGGACTCAAACTTATGTCCCTGAGAGCCAACAACTTATATATGTCCTGAGCATGTGCACAGTCTACTGCTCACAGTAATACTGGGTATAACAGATCATAGTATTATTCATATATTTATATTAGTGCTGTCAAACAATTAATCGTGATTAATCTCATCCAAAATATTTTTTTTTTGTTTACATAATAAATGTATATGTACTGTGTTTATTTATTATGTATATATATAAATACACACACATACAGTATATATTTTGAAAATGTTTACATGTATATACATTTATATATTTAAATAATTTTTATTATATATAAATATATTTAATATATAAACAACATATTTTTCTTCGGACGTCATAGATCATGTGGTTTTGGCAAAAATAAATACCTAAATATTTTTCTGATTTAAATGTGTGTGTGTGTCTGTGTGTGTGTGTGTGTGTGTGTTTATGCTACATTGTGGGGACCAAATGTCCTCACAAGGGTAGTAAAACCTGACATTTTTGACATTGTGGGGACCAGCCTGAGTGTGTGTGTGTGTGTGTGTGTGTGCATATGTTTATGGGATTTAGGCCTATGGGATGTTAAAGTACACGTCGCTCGAAAAACTTACCAGAGCAACGGCCATTTTCATTGACCTCAAATCCTGGTCCACACTGTGAAAAGAAAGAGCATTTGTACAACAATTAAACCCCTCAAATAAAGAAGAACACGTGAGTATGAAAGGTAGGGTATGTACCTCGATCTCCACCACTTGGGTCGCCTCTTCCTCATTCTCAGGGTAATAGATCTCCATCACTTTGTTCATCTCGCTGGGCTCCAGAGCTCTCGCCACAGAACGTCCATCTGGCCAGAACACTTCCACACTGGTGGCCACATCTTTCCCTGTCAGGGCAGCAAAGCAGCAATCCTTTCAGTACTTCACGAACAGTTCGTCTTTATAACTTCCCCTCAGGCTTAGGAGACATAATGAATGATTTATTTTCTTAATGTACAGCTCTCCATTGAAAAATACCATTCTGGAGAAAGGGCCCTCCCAAGAAGATTCTCGGCAAAAGCCAGGTTGGAATAGGCTCTGGTTTGGCACAGACCACGTAGACTCTTAAACAAATGCACAAGAATGCGTTCAGTCTCAGCTGTGGGCAGCGTCGTGAGCAGCGAGGCCTGAACACGTCTCATTTGATGTCAACAGAACCGGTTTCTCATGACTGCCGGTGTGTGGGGTTCACAGGCCAGAGAGTTTCTGGCATAGCAGTCACTGAGGCATTAAAGCAATGAGGTTCTTATATGCCAGACCGATGAAATCTGTCTGTTGTTCGGTGGCTGAAATAAGGAGCCATATAAATGGCACGGTGGTTGGAAAGCACTTCATTTAAGAAGGTTTACAGAAGCATCCATTTACTACCTTCAATCTGATTGTCAGAGACACTTTCTCACAGACAGCGGGGACAGTAATTAACACGGCCGTTAGAGGAGACTGTCGTAGTGATCATGAACGGAGAGATCATCCATTGGAAATTAATGTGGTGGAGGAGGAAGGCAGAACTTCAAAGGAGTTAAAATGAGGAGGGACAGGGTGGGCGCTAGACTTTCTTTCCATTATAGCCTTTAGTCAAGCAGGAGAGAAGCTGACTGCCTTCCCAGTTCTTAATTAAAGCGACATTTCTTAGGTAAACAGATCCACAGGGCTCCTGGCAGGACCAAGGCTGGCTCAGGTGCCTCGCGAGACAAAAAGCATGACATTTCACCAGCGGTTACTGAAAGACGCAGTTTAGTTGGAGAGGACAACTGAGCATCTGTCGGGTTTTTATTTAATAAAGGCAATCTTCAAATTCAGCATGTGAAAAATGATTGTTGATTGCAGGGTTTAGGTAACTGCATGTAATACTGATAATATTCACTAACAAAAAGTACCATGGTACACTAACAATTTTTTTTTTAAATAATATATTTTTATATATTATATTTAATATATAGTTGTTGGGGTTTTTTTTTAATTTTACCATCACATCTTTTTCTTTGTCTGAGAAATGAAAATACTCAAAATATCAAAAAATATAAATAAAAAAATTAAATGAATAAAAAATTAATTAATTTTTCTGTTGAGGTGTATAAAGGTATTTTTAGTCTGAAAAATCAAAAAATTTAAAATGAAAAAAAAAAAATTTCAAATTTTTAAAAACATTCCATATTTTATGAAGCACCTTTTTTTGTCTGAGAAATAAAAAAAATATGAAATCTAATAATCATCTTAATTAATTAAAAAATTATTAATTTATTTATTTAGTCTAAAAATAAAAAAAAAATGTTTTTGACATGATCAATTTTTTTAATTTAATTTTTTATTTACCATGGTATGTTTTTGTTAAAGAAATCTAAAAATTCAAAACTCTTCTCAAAAATGAATTTGAAAAGTTTCAGATTTTTCTGAAAGTCTGAATTTTGAAGAATTAAGATTCTGCTCTATTTAAACTAATTAGGTCACTAAGCACATTTGTAAAATCCAGTTTAATCTGAAACATAACTGAGAACTTAATTAAAAACTAAAGTCGCATTATAAGATATAAACTCACAAATGTGAAATGTACAGTCACAACTGTGAGAAATAAAGATGCACTTGTGAGATATAAGGTGCCATTGTTAGATATTATGTCATACAGTATTTTGAGACAAAGTCACCATTTCAAGAAATAAAGCTGCAATTGTGAGATAAAAATGTGTTAAAAATGTGTGTTTAAAAAAATAAAAAAAAAATTTATACCATAATCTGATACCATAAACTGTACTATGGATTTATTTTGTAAAGCAGATATTTTACATCAATTTGCAAACACTCTTACTGAAAGAAACATCGATGAGAGGCCTGAACACGTACGCACATATTTACGAGCCCTCAGGGTGATCCAGTGACTACTGATGGCTATCGTTTTGTTTTTCACAGCACATTCAGAACAATCTGAGCTTCCAGCTGGCAGCCTATTTCTGCCACAAATCTGTCCGATAGCTCCCAGATGAAGCCATGTGCCTCCAAGCATCTGTAACACAGCCGAGCCGTGGGGAAAAGGTCCCGGTCTGCTGCCACTGGAGGCACCCCAACACTGCACGTTTTGCATGTCTCCTTAATTAAACACACCTGATTCAGGTCATCAGCTCATTAGTAGAGACTTCAAGACCTGAAAGTGGTGCGTCAGAGAAAGGAGACATGCAAAATGTGCAGTGTTGGGGTGCCTCCAGGACCAGGGATGGGAACCACTGATCTAGTACACCTAGATGATAATTTCTCCATTATATGTGTGCCCAATTAACATACACTACTGTTCAATACTGTAGTTACACTAAAAGTTTGAAGTCAGTAAGTTTTTTAAATGTTTTTGAAAGAAAAAATACATAAAACAATAAAGTGAATATTATTACAATTTAAAACAACTGTTTTATTATATTTTCAAAATTTAATTTATTTCTGTGATGGTAAAGCTGACATTTTTGATTCAGCATCCATTACTCCAGTCTTCAGTGTCACGTGATCCTTCAGAAATCATTCTAATATGCTGATTTGCTGCTCAAGAAACATTTCTTATTATTATCAATTTTGAAAACAGTTGTGCTGCTAAATATTTTGTGAAAACCATGACACCTTTTTCAGGATTTTATGATGAATAGAAAGTTCAAAAATATGTTCAATAATACAATGTTCAGTTTAATGCTGAATAAAAATATAAATTTCTTTCAGAAAAAAAAATTGGTAACACTTTCTATGATTTGCAAGTACGTCAACTTATTCTACCATACTAGATTCTACCATTCTTGAGCATACTTATACTCTACTGAGAGTTAGTTGGCATGTAGTTGCAAAGTTGCTTACAGTCGACTGATTAAGGGGACCATCAAAATAAAATTATAATGTATTATAAATACGGGCTTCATAGAAAGTGTTACCAAAAAATTCTTAATGACCCCCAAACATTTGAATAATAGTGTACATTTTTCACTAGTCATGTCAAAAAAAGAGAAAAAAAAAAAAAAAGTTTAAGCACAGTGGATGATTGACAAGCAAGTACGGTACTTTGATGCATCAGGACGTAGTAGCCTTTACACGATAAATGTTTTGAAACAATATGAAGTTGAGAACATTAATAGTCCTTCATAACTAAAAAAAAAAATAAATAAATAAATAATAATAATAATAAATTAAAAGCTTTGGTTCATTTTCAAGTTATTTTAAGGGGAAAATCTTAATTTACCATTTGTAAAACTCTACAAAATAAACAGTCCTATTTTAATGGAATGAACCAGCCAAATCCTTCATACCGGTTCCCCGTCCCTCTGGTTCGGCGGCCTCCCCGACGTTCAGCTCCTCGATCTGTGGATCTCCGTGTTCTCTCCGAGAAACTCTGCCATGGTAAAGATTAATTACTTACTCTCTTTGCCTTTTGGCTTGAGAGAGCTCCACACAAAGGAACAGTCAAAGACAAATGTACCTTGTCAGCTGCATGTTATACAACATGTCTCAAAGGAGATATTCATTTACGGGCTCATGAAACCCCCGCAATATTGATTCAGTTAAAACATTTCTAGGGCTGGAAGATCATACTTTATATTTTGATGACTAATAATGCTAACTAAAAGGTTTCTTTATATTAAAAGCTTAAATCTTTGCTTTCTGAGAACCGAGGTCCAGACTGTTTGAGTATGGGATTAGAAACTAATTTGAAACAATGTTCTGTTTAATGCTACATCCAGTCTTCTCATTAGAAAGCCATCGTGTAACGGGTGAGGTCGGATGTTGGGGGAATTTCCCATCAGGTAGAGTTGTGGTTGGACTGGGTTTGTTTGTGGTCTGGCAGTTGGACTTGCTGGCTTGTCGTGCCGTCTGGGCTTACCATCAAATCCCCAAAATAGAGAGAGTTTCCATAATTATTTCCTACCTTACAATGTAAATGTTAAAGAAATAACTCTGTTACATAATGATAATACAGGTCATTTTGATCAAGTAGGCAATTGTATAAATGTATACAAATATCCAAGACAGGTTACTGTACATTCATTGTTACATTAATTTTTTTATTGTTATTATTTTAAATAAAACAATAGTATTTGTTTATATCCTACTGATATCTTTTATGGGACAAACGTTTTATCAGAAAGTTGTTGTTCTTTTCCATACAATGGAAGGGAATAGTGACCAGCAGTTTTTATTGGTAACTAAAACTATAAGAATTGTTTACGTCATTAAAATTAAAGCTGAAATAAAATAAAATAAAATATGAATATTAGACGTTAAAAAAAACTTAAATGAAAATTATAAATGAACTATTTGTATAAAATAAGCAAAATGAAAATAATTTATAAAACTAAAATGGAAATCAAAATCAACTCAAGCTAAATAGAAATATTACAAAAAATACAAATTAAAAAAGCATAAAACAAAATGACTAAAATTAAAATAAAATATAAATTTAAAAGCTAAAGCAATTATTATTATATAAATTAAAATAAAAGCAAAATATTATTAAATACTATATAAAAAAATGAAAAATCAGTGTGAACATCCTGCTAAATATCTCCTTTATGTGTTCTGCACCACTCTAAGACGTAGCTTATGCATATCAGTAGAGTACACACCTGAACAGTCTGTTGGCTGATGGTCCTCTGTAGGCAATGTTGTTGAAAAAAACCTCCAGTTCATTGTCATTATCAAAGTCAGCTGCAATGACAGTGCGAACAGGAGATGGCATGGAAAACTTCTGTGTGGCGATGTCCTGGTACAGAGAATATCAGCACATCAAAATTTGAAACACCACAGCGTTGACACACTTTACACTTGGGAAAATCACCTGAAGAACGTCTTCCTTATAATACAGTGGTTTCTACAGATTAAACTGGGACGGGAAAGTATTTTTTCCTTCGCTGACAGGGGAGCATTAGCTTCAAGATTTGGAGAGTCAGATGTATGATATCTATGACATAAAGATCTAAGCTGCAGGTAAATCACAGTCTAAAAACTTCAGGGAGTGGGAGCAGAAAAAAGTAACTGCTATCGTCACGCTTCAGTAGTGCAGCAACGAGTCATGGAAGAGTTATTGAGCATGCCGGCACTCTTTCAAGTATTAACCCCAATTTTAATTATAGGGCTCATAAAACCTGCAGGTGAAAGCCCATGAAGTGACCTTCTGCTGTCTGGTTGAAGGAGAGGTGATGGCCATCTCTGGACAGGAACCAGCAGAGGAGGTACAGCTGAGCATGAGACAATACTGAGCATCTCAGATAGATGGAAAGATGAGTGTATAGACAGAACGAACGAACGAACGATAGACAGACAGACAGACAGACAGACAGACAGATAGATAGATAGATAGATAGATAGATAGATAGATAGATGTACCATAGAACGATAGACAAAGCGACAGATAGATACATAGATGAATGAAAGTACGATAGATAGATAGATAGATAGATAGATAGATAGATAGATAGATAGATAGATGTACCATAGAATCATAGACAGAACGACGGATAGATACATAGATTAATGATAGAGAGATAGATAGATAGATAGATAGATAGATGTACCATAGAAAGATAGACAAAGCGACAGATAGATACATAGATGAATGAAAGTACGATAGATAGATAGATAGATAGATAGATGTACCATAGAACGATAGACAAAGCGACAGATAGATACATAGATGAATGAAAGTACGATAGATAGATGATAGATAGATAGATAGATAGATAGATAGATAGATGTACCATAGAATGATAGACAGAACGACGGATAGATACATAGATTAATGATAGAGAGATAGATAGATAGATAGATAGATAGATAGATGTACCATAGAACGATAGACAGAACGACGGATAGATACATAGATTAATGATAGATAGATAGATAGATAGATAGATAGATAGATAGATGTACCATAGAGCGATAGACAAAGCGACAGATAGATACATAGATGAATGAAAGTACGATAGATAGATAGATAGATAGACAGACAGACAGATAGATAGATAGATAGATGTACCATAGAGCGATAGACAAAGCGACAGATAGATACATAGATGAATGAAAGTACGATAGATAGATAGATAGATAGACAGACAGACAGATAGATAGATAGATAGATGTACCATAGAGCGATAGACAAAGCGACAGATAGATACATAGATGAATGAAAGTACGATAGATAGATAGATAGATAGACAGACAGACAGATAGATAGATAGATAGATGTACCATAGAGCGATAGACAAAGCGACAGATAGATACATAGATGAATGAAAGTACGATAGATAGATAGATAGATAGACAGACAGACAGATAGATAGATAGATAGATGTACCATAGAGCGATAGACAAAGCGACAGATAGATACATAGATGAATGAAAGTACGATAGATAGATAGATAGATAGACAGACAGACAGATAGATAGATAGATAGATGTACCATAGAGCGATAGACAAAGCGACAGATAGATACATAGATGAATGAAAGTACGATAGATAGATAGATAGATAGACAGACAGACAGATAGATAGATAGATAGATGTACCATAGAGCGATAGACAAAGCGACAGATAGATACATAGATGAATGAAAGTACGATAGATAGATAGATAGATAGACAGACAGACAGATAGATAGATAGATAGATGTACCATAGAGCGATAGACAAAGCGACAGATAGATACATAGATGAATGAAAGTACGATAGATAGATAGATAGATAGACAGACAGACAGATAGATAGATAGATAGATGTACCATAGAGCGATAGACAAAGCGACAGATAGATACATAGATGAATGAAAGTACGATAGATAGATAGATAGATAGACAGACAGACAGATAGATAGATAGATAGATGTACCATAGAGCGATAGACAAAGCGACAGATAGATACATAGATGAATGAAAGTACGATAGATAGATAGATAGATAGACAGACAGACAGATAGATAGATAGATAGATGTACCATAGAGCGATAGACAAAGCGACAGATAGATACATAGATGAATGAAAGTACGATAGATAGATAGATAGATAGATAGATAGATAGATAGATGAACTTATTATGACTCACACATGATCTTCCACTAGCTGGTGTGCTTGTTCAGCCAAAGTTTAATTAACACACGGAATAACAGAGCATCTTAATCACAATGCAATTATACATGGCAAAGGTCACAATGCCCTACGTTGATGCACAAATCCTTCTGTAAGGTCTCCCATGAGACATTAACCCAACAATTGACCCCCATAAAACAGCTTCCTGCTGACATTTATCTCTGTGCTAAAGAAGCCAATCACTGCCGCTAACTCTGGGATCAAGCTAAAGCTGAGAAAGACCTACACACACAGCGCCGATCCATCCATACCAAACACAATTACCTGACACACTCGGGTGATACAGATCCAAAGGTTCATGACTAAAATAAATCGATAATATTTTGTGTTCATTACTTCTTTAATTATTATTATTTATTTAAGGACAGGCTTGCTTACATAGCCTAATTAAACCATTAGTTCAAGATTAGCAGACTTACAAATTCTGACTGGGTCCACAGGACAAATGTTTCTCCTAGACAACAATGTGCTTAAAGAGAGCTGATAGAGGTTCTTTAAGACTTACGCATTTCAGAGTTTTATCTTGAGAAAAATACCCAAGTGATCTCATATGTGTCTCGTCAAGAAATCACAATGTTCTTAGGTTTGCCAACAAAATCTGGCATTACAAGACATTTCAAATTTCATTATGAATTTAAATAATTTTCATCAGATTATTCAAAAAGTTAAAATGTAATCTAAGCTATATAAATTCTTTGTTATATGTCTGCCATAACATAGATTTTGCCACTGTTTTATAAAAGCTGTGGTAAAATCACTATAAAGCACAGCCTCTTGTAGCTTATATTGTTTTATTTTACTGTACCATAAAGAAGTTAACAAATATCAGCCACATACAGTACTACACTACTGTTTAGGGTCTGTTCATTTTTTTTCCTAGCTGCATTTAATTAATTAAAATACAATAAAACAACATTGAAAACAGTTATGCTACTTATTATTTTTGTGAAAACCCATGACATACTTTTTTCAGGATACTTTCATAAATTGAAATCTCAACAGAACACCATTTATTTGAAATAGAAATGATAAAAGTCTTCATCGCCACTTTTGATCAAATTAGCGCATCCTTTCTGAAATAATGTATTAATTTCTTTAAAAAGAAAATCAATACTGACCCCAAACTTTTGAAAAGTAGGTTATGCGGAAAAAAAATAAAAAATAAACATTTCTCAAACATTCAGACTTGATTCAGTCAAGCTATCAGCAGATTTATAAAACTTCCTGTGTAAGTCTCAGAAAAATAAAGAGGTTCTTCGATCTTACTGTGACTAATTACAATCACTGTGCTTTACCAGATAAAACGAGAGCCAGGTCACTGCGCAAACAATAGAACAATGATTAGAGAATAATTGAATACTCTAATCAGACAGCAGATGGTATTATTTTATCCTCTGTCTTCTCTCAGAAGGATTTAATTATACAGATCAAAATGTAGGGATCATGTTTTGTTCTGCATAACAAAGATGAAACCTACCATTCAGTATATTCACATCTAATTTAAAAAAAAACAACAACTAGATTTGCATTTCCACCAGTGTTTTGAAGGCAGCTAAGTAACTGTGTTACAGTTTCTGGCCTGGCAAGCACTGCAGTAAACCCTTTTTGCTTCCATTACAGCTAAAAGAATATGAAAATAGTGATTTTAAAACCTGCACCTTAAACCTTTGCTTGCGATTATTGCTGAGTTGTAGGAACAGACGATGCGGCCCATTCCAGTTTCCATAGACAATGTCAGTCTTCCCATCCCGATTAAAATCTGCTAACGCCACTCCACGGCCATGCTGCATCGGGTCATCAACCCCTGCGACAACAAATACAAATATTTCATTGCATGTTTGCTGTGAAAGGCTAACAAACTCACCTTTCAAAAATAAAATCAGCAGAAAAAAGAAAGGCGCCAGCTCTTGCTTACCCACTTGTGCTGCCACATCTGTAAATGTACCGTTTCCGTTGTTGCGAAACAGAAAGTTAGGGCTGTACTCATTGTCACAGAAAATATCAGGTAGGGTCTGACTGAGGATGGGACCGACCACGACCCCCCGTCCCCCTGTAACACACAGCAGAGATGGCCATCATCACCAAACGCACAGAAGAAATCGTTAGTGGCTTTCCAGCTCATTTCCCCAGCAGCGGCTCTCTGCTGCTTTTGCTGACACAGACACTGACTGCCCATAATCACATTACAGGGAGTGCGAACATGTGCATTTAACCAGCTTTACATCCACACATCTTACCCGGCAATCACTATTCTACAGATCTGACCTCTAGTTGAATCACAGCAGCAAGTAATTCTTTATTTTGTACAGCGCTTTTCACAATGAACAATGTTTCGAAGCAGCTTTAACGAAAATTGTGCTTTTATTTCTTAAAGCCCAGCAGGACCATGCTTTTCTTAATGCTAAATATGAGCATGCAAGACATTTGAACAGAAATGTGGGAGAGGGATCAACTAAACTAAAGTAAACTAAAGTAAACTAAAGTAAACTAAACTAAACTAAACTAAACTAAAATAAAATAAAATAAAATAAAATAAAATAAAATAAAATAAAATAAAATAAAAT